AAACCAGTTTATATTTATAATGCAAACTACCTCGAATTTTTATATTTCATTGTCAGTCATCAGAGAATTTTTTCTGCAGATATTTGAAGGCTGGCGGATAATGGATTTTTTCGTGATTGAGCGCATACACGATTCTCTATATTTAGATACTAACTTTTTGAACTCTGTTATATTGAGATTTTACTTTGGAGTATGGCAAACTTTTTGGTAATGAAGTTTTTAACAAGGTAAGATTATGCAATATAATTATAATTAAATTATTGTTTGGGAATATTATATATAACATTAACATAATTATTTTTTAAGGTAATTATAAAGGAGATAGACTTCCTTACCGATTTGGCTAAAACTTTATAATTTTGTGTATTTTGGTGCGTAAAACATAAATCTGTAAGTTAAAACTGTTGTTCTCAATTTTTTAGGAAAAGCGGTATTAAATACTGAAATTGATTGTTGCATGGTTAGGATGTCTGTTACATTCACATGATCATCCGTAATGATGTAAGAGTGGAGTTATAGTAATAGTACAGTATAACAGCAACTTCTCATAATAGTCTGGCGCCTTACTTTACTTTAATTGTGTGCTATTATTTGACTTTGTATTTATATAAACTCTTAATATACCAATTATTTTCTGCTTTAAAAAAGCCTTTTTTCTTTATTTCTATTATCTCTTTTAATCATATTGTTATACCAATTATTTTCTGTTTTAAAGCAGAAAATAATTGGTATATTGAAAAGTCTATATAAATACAAAGTAAAATAAATATAAAGTTAAATAATAAACATAATTAAAGTAAGGCGCCAGTCTATTATAGGGCGGGTTGCCGTTATACTGTATTATTACTATAATTTCATGCACTTTTACGTCACTACCCATGATCATGTATGATACATCTACATTATGTTAGTACGATAGACATTCTAGCAACGCAGCTATCAATTTTAGTACTTAATAGCTTTTTTCCTAATTGAGAGTGACATTTTTAACTTACAGTTTCATGTTTTACGCACTAATAAAATACACAAAATTGTGAAATTTCAGTCAAATCAGTGAGGAAGCCCTTCTCTTTCATAATTACCTTTTTTAAATTACATTTGGTAATAGTTTCTTAATTCTCCTTAACAAATTTTTAATATTACAAAGAATCATTTTAATCTCAAAGAATTAAAGAAGTAACAGTACAAAATAAACATATTTAATTAAAATAAAATAAAATAAATACATTTTTCTTGTAAGAAAACTTGGCGCTGCTAGACTTCAAAATTTAAACATTAGTAATAAGATTTTTGATTGAATAAAAAAACAATAAATATAATTTAGGGAAGAATGTGACAGGAGTAAAAAAGCAGCGCTGTTTTCTTATAAAAAACATTTATTTTTTTTAATTAAATATTTTTATTTTGTACTGTTACTTTTTTAATTCTTTGTGATTAAAATGATTCTTTGTAATATTAAAAATTTGTTAAGGAGAATTAAGAAGCTATTACCACTTGGGTTGGAATAGGAAGATCCTTATTGTATAGGAATACAAAGGTATCACTTAGGTTTTATTTTGTAGAAGTAGTTGCACAACAATTATTTTTCAAAGCAATATACATATTCTCTTTGCAATTGGTGCAATTTAATTTAAAAATTTTACATCTCTTTTGAAATGCATGTCACTTGAGTTGAGTTAGGTAATATAATTTTGTAAAGGAGAAATAAAGTTACAACTTAGGTTGGATTTTTGAATTTACAAAATATATTGCGTGTACTTGGCATCTTTTTTTACCTTTTTTGAAAAAAGTAATTTTGTACTGTTTTAAGTAACTTTAATAATATACTCTTAATGTATGGATCTTGAATCATGGGCCACCTTGTATGTTATATTACATGATATATGTAGGAGTCAGCTAATATTATATAAAGTTATATATAGAGGAGTCGTATAAAATTATATATAATTATATAATAGCTTATACATAATTTTATATATTTCTCTATAATTTGATACATATAGTTTTTCTTATTTTTATTTTTTTTTATTATTTTATATATACTTGTAATATGTAGTATTTATTATGTAAAAATAAAAGTTTAGCATATATTTAGATACATATATATCTTTTTAAATATTTGTTTGTATAAAATAATCTTGAAATAAATAAAATATTTTTATAGAGAAATATTTTTATAGAAATATTTTTTTTTCATTTTTAAAGATTTATACATTTTATTAAAAATATGTAAAATGCATTTAATCGCTGTTTTTTCAGCAGGGTACACATACTTTTTGTAGAACGTAACAGTAAGGTTTCGACCAATTGTGTTGTTCCATTTTTACTTCTACGGTTACAGATGACCGAATCAAGCAATGCAATTCCTTATTGTTATTTTCTACAAAGTGTGTGTCCTGTTTTAAGGTTTAAAAAGAATTGTTCTTATAATTAAAATTCAAATATATTATTATCCACGTTAAAATATGACAATAATAAATGTGGTCTTGTTTTATTTTTACAATTTCTTGATTACTATGTAGATAAATCATTTCAGT